TTTTTTTTAACGATTGGAGGTGGTGGTGCAGGGAGGCGGTACCACCACCTCCTGTCACCGGGGTAAAAAAAATGCCAAAAAAATTATGAATGCCATATTTTTGGCAAAAGTCAAAAGGATTCAAGTTGGCAGAATGAAAATGTTGGCATTCTCATAGAGAAATATGCTATTTTTGTGGAATTTAAAAAAAAGTGGCATTTTTTACACCGATTGGAGGTAGTGGTTCAGGGAGGTAGTACAGGCGGTGGGAAAGGTATCCATATTTTTTTAGGGAAATTATCGTTGACCTCCCTTGAGGTTTGATGCATTATCAATCACACCCCTATACTATCAAAAATATACTTTTACCCCCCTCCCTATCCTTTAATGATGATTAAATAACTTCTAATCTATATTTAGAGAAAACTATAGATATAATTTCATTATTTTTCGTTAGGTCCACTTTTAATACTGTAATTTTATTCAATCACAAATTTGATCCGGCAATTAATAAATTTGTCCATATTAATGGCATTTTTATCGGAAGTCAAACAAAATTGACCCCACTCTAGGTAGTTCGTTTTATACCTTTGAATTTGTGAAGTGACTAAATATACTCAATTGGCATGGAAATGATCAAAATAAGCTAAATTTGTCAAGAACTGAAACAAATCAACTTAATTGAACCAAACCGACTCAAAAGTGATGTTGACTACTCGGTTTTACCATTAAAGATTGAATGCAAGAAAATTCCCATTTTGCACTCTAGAAACTTTTTTATCACTGAAAATGAGATCATATAGGTATAATATAACTTGTAAATTAACATTTGACAAAATATGAACATGTTTACATGTAAAATACTGGTAAAGACATTATAATTTATCATGAGTTTCACACCCAAACTGGTTAGTGCTAAATAATTAGTGTGGCCCATGATCTTATCTTTGGTTCTAATATCCTAATTTGTCTAGGTTCGCTCCCGATAATTTAAATATTTAACTACCTATTTTTTAATTTTTAAACGGACTATAACCAATTTTAAAATGTTTTCAATGGTTTTAATGAAAAAATAAACGGGGTCAAAACATGGGCTCAAATCCGGGTCCAAAAAGTGAGGCCTGAGGCCTCTTGTTCACTAGTCTGGTCTCGATCCCAACCTAAAATCTTAATTAAAAAATCGGTCATTCTCGAGACCGGGCCTTGTCCTCCCCTAATATGAACCACAAAAGTGAGTACTTTTCATACAAATTTACAATAGATAACAATAGTGTCCTGAAAGTCCTTCAACAACATCTGTGTTACGTATAAAATATACGTATTAGAAATCTTTCTCTCGTCAGAAAAGTTTCACCAAGATTTCTACAACCTCAAATATATTTTTGAACTTTTAACAGTAACATAGATTTATGGTTTTAAGCTCGTACCTTTCGATTGTGTCTGCTAAGTGTATAATTTTACTCACATGTAGATGTGGTTATGTACTTTGTCAATAATAAGGGCTATTTCATTGGAAAGTACGCGTTCTTGCAAAAAAGTACTTTCTGGTGGAAAGATTTTGAATACAAGTAAATTTATTAATTATCAGGTTAAATCTGCTAGTGAGTAAATTTATAAAACTGAATCTATACTATTTCTAAACGTAATTAAGAGTTATTAAACTTTCATTAAAGGATAGGGAGGGGGGTAAGTGTATATTTTTAATAGTGCAGGGGTCTAGATGATAATACGTGAAACCTCAAGGGTGGTAAATGATAATTTCCCTTTTTTTTAATTTTTTATGGAGTTTTACTATTTTTTATTAATTTTCAAAAAAAAAAATTAATTTTTTTTTCTTATTTTTTATTTTATAAAAATTTTATTAATTTTTTTATTATTTTTCTATGAATTATTGAAATTTTTTCGAATTTATTATGAATTAAACATTTAATTATGACTTTTAGTATCTTTTACTAATATTTAAAGGAGGGGTAAGAATGGAAGGAAGAAATGAGTATGTTTCCAATAGGACCACTATGGTCCTATTTTGGAATAAAAAACATAGCAAGTCTTATTTTGAGTTTTTGCCATAGTTTTAGTCCTATTTGAAGTAATTTCTACATTAAATAATAATACTCTTATTGAAATTCTCTACAATTGTTAATCTTACCCCTTTTATGGCAATTTCTGTAAAATTAGGGAGATTTACCTTAATAGGATCAAAACATGACTTTTTTTTATCAAAATAGGAGTACCTAGTTTAAACATCCTTAAATAGGACTTTTTATTAGTGATTGGACCAAAATACCCCTCACATCCTTTACCACTGCTGCCCAGGGACTGCCGGACCGCCGCCTACCGCTTGCCGCCGCCGGAAAAAATCCAGATTTTTTTCCTGGAGGTTTGCCAACATTCTGCCGCCACCTGCCGCCGGCCGCCGCCGCCGCCGGCGGCCGCCGCCGCCGGAAACCGCCTCTTCCACTGCCGCCAAACTGCCGCCACCTCCGGACTGCCCCGCTACCAACGGACTGCCTTGGTTGTGCAAGAGAACTAGGGGGGCAATTAATTGGGTTAATTAATTGCCGGAGTTGCCGCCGCCGCCGCCGGAATCTGCCGCCGGCCGCTGCCGGAGTGCTGCCGCCACCACGGACTGCCCCGCCACCGACGGACTGCCTTGGTTGTGCAAGGAAACTAGGGGGGCAATTATTTAGATTAATTAATTAATTAAATAGAATTAGGGGTAAAAAAGGTAAGGTTAGTCCTATTTAGAGAAAAACATGCATGTGGTCCTATTTTGAGAAAAATGTTGAGTTTTAGTCCTATCTTGGACAATTTTCTCGTAAAATTAAGAGTAAGAACAATGTGATTAGACATTACAATTATCCCGACAAGTCTGTTCTTGTTTGGTGATTCAATTACTAATTCTTCTCGCCTAACTTGCTTTAGCTTATATTCACGATAGAATATTACAACTATGTTACTTTAAATAAATAAATAAATCTTGAATAGACGTAAAAATAATGCAACCATAAATTGGCATTAACATGGATTGGTGTAACATTATTAATATCATAATAATAGATAATAATAGATAATATTTTTCAAGTTTGACAATAGTTACTCAAATTTAGGGGAAATGTAACTCATATTTCTATGTTGGACTTTTTTGTTACTCTTTTTAGTCTTTGTTGGTGTGTCTGATTGCTGGATGTTTAAGAGACTAAGTTTTTGTTATTTTTGACATTCAAGTCAAGGTGGTATTTCTTTACCGATGCAAATTTATAACATGTTTTTCCTGACAATTATTCATAGAGTGAATTGCCTAAATAGGACTAAAAGAAGGTAAAATTGCAAAAATAGGACATAATGTTTTAAGTTTCCTTAATAGGACTAATTATTTGAATTTGGACAAAAATAGCCTTCTTGATTCTCGCTGCATCGATTCGCTGGGTGCGATCAATGTTGATCGGCAACGATGGATGTACGCCTCTGCTACATACATGCCTAGGTAAGTTTCTTCTCCATCTTTTAATCTTCTTCTGCTCATCGTTAACTTCTTCTCAAAGCTCCCTTGTTTTCCTCTTCTACAACTCTTCTATTTTCTTCTTCTTTTAGATTTCCAAATTTTTATTAATCTTGAGTAATTTATTTTAAAAGATTCATATTATTGTTCTCATCACTTGAATCTGAAAATGTCACAAATGATGTTTAATTGAACACTAATTTGTAATAATGTCACTTTTATGACATTACATTTGCTAAGGTGACCATTTCAAAGAAGAATATGACATTTCCAAAAAGAAAAAATGTCATTTTCATGACATTTTCGAAACAAAAATGACATTTTCAGATTGTCATCCTAGTAAATGTACTGCCACAAACGTGACATTTTTTTCAAAGAACAAGATGACATTTCCAAAAATGAAAAATGTCATTGTCATGACATTTTCGAAACAAAAATGACATTTTCAGATTGTCATCCTGGTAAATGTACTGCCACAAAACATGACATTTTTTTTTCAAATAACCAATAATTTTGACATTCTCAGATTATAAAAGTGTCATTTTCCTGAATAAATAAAATTCAAACCCAAAAAATCTAAATTAATAAATAAAATTCAAATCCAAAAAATTCGAAGAAGAAGAGAACGGAGGACCAGAAATTTGAAGAGGATTAGAAGAAGAGAAAAAGAAGAAGAAAAAGAAGAAGAAGAAGAGGAGGAGGAGGAGGAGGAGGAGGAGGAAGAAGATGAAGAAAGGAGGAGATTACCTACGATCAACGGCGGCTATGGTGCGAGGCCATAGCCGATGGCGGAGCTGCAGTCTATGGGATGAATTGAAAGCATGTGTGGAGCTGCTGCGATTTGTTGTAGTTGATCGGAGAAAGCAGCGATGAAGGGGGCAGAGCATCGATGAAGCGGACTGGACGATGAAACGAGAAAAGTAGAAGGGGGCGAGAGATTGGGGTTTTAATTGCAGAAGGGCAAAAGAGTAATCTGGAGTCCCATTTATGCAATTTAAAACTTGAAGTCTTATTTTGGAGTTTTAACCATGTTTTGGTCCCATTTAGTATAATTTTACTTATTCATAAACTCAAAGAACCCGGTGAAATTTCCTATGACCGGAGGCGGCAATTACTGCTGGCAGGGCCGCAGGGGTTGTTGGATGAGGCAATGGGGTAGGGGTAGGGAGCGGGGTGGGTAGTTGGGTAGGAATTAAACTAAGATTAGTCACATTTTGAAAGAACGAAAATATTCATATGTTGTCTTCCACGAGTGTAGAGGTGATATCTTTTTATTTTTTTCCCAATAAATACTTCCCTCCGCCCGCTGAGATTGTTCATCTCTCCTTTTCGGCCTGTGTCGCCAAGATTGTATCATACCAAATTGAATAAAATTTGTGTAGTTCTAAATCATTTTTACTTTATCAAATCAATATCAACCACATAAACTCACTTTTCTTAAGTGTACCACCTCGTTATGTCTCAATCCTCAATCTTAATGAGACCAAGGTAATAATACGTAATAAATATTAATAATCAGGTAAAAGAAAAAAGGAGGCCGCAGAAGACACCATAGTACCACACCACCACATGAATTGAAGTTAGGAACATACTCTAATCAGGAACATACTTACCTCGATATCATTTTAATATATTGAGCTAAAATCCTCTAATCCATACTCTCAAAGTAGAAAAGTCTACATCAACAGCAACAACAATAAAAAGTACAAGAAAGTTAAAGTAGTTATTGGGCATGCATTAGAGGATCGGAGATGGATGTTGAGAGAACTTATTGGAAAGGGCTGTGTGCTTATTGTTGTGCATCCAGACCTTGAGAACTCTTCTCTTCACCCCAACTTGTTGGCAGAATTGCTGCACCGCTGCTTCTTCTTCCTTATGTATCTTCCACCCGACCCTCTCTGCGAACTTCGCCATTTTCTCCTTCTGCTCTTGTGTAAACTTCGTTCTGAACCTCTTCTTCACCACCTGCCCCGGGTGTGGAGGCCGCATGACCACCACCACCCTCCTCTCTTTGTTTGGCTCTGATATCATGTTAATGACTTGGTGCGGGCCTGATGATCCACTTGCGTCACCATACAATGCTCGCAGGTGGTGGCAGCCCAGGTAGACCTTCGTCCCGAAAGGTGGGCCGTGGGAATCCCCTTCAACCTCCTTCCTGTGGAAGTTCCGATGGCAATGGCAGGCTGAGCAGATGAGTGACTCAAGGCTTCCATCTTCACCGCTGGGCATAAACTCACCACACCCATCAGTGGCATTCCCTCCCATCCCAGCTGCATGGTTCTTGAGGCACTCCCTGTACCTGATGCTCACAGCCATTTGGTTGGAATTGATGTTGTGGGGCCCATGCTGATCCATGGTGGGCCCAATGGAAGATGGGATTTGTGCAGGTATGAATACTTGAGCATTGTGAATTGGAGGAGGGAGATGGATTGGCACTGCCATTTCTCCTCCATTACTCGATGGGATTTCCATTATTTAGTTCATCATCTAAATTTAGCAAGCAAGTGATGGATCGAAAGTGAAAGATGAGAGGGGAGGAATTACAGAGCTACAAAACCAAAACTTGCTTTACTTATTCTTTAGCAGTAGAAAACATGCCAGCACAAGAAATTAAATTCCAAGTCAGTCTTTAAGGGAAGGGAGTATTATAGAATTATATAATGGTAACAAAATTAAAAGACAAAGGAACTAAATTAAAAGCGGGGCGGTGCTTGCTTTGCTTGCACTACCAGGTAACGAACTTACTCCTTATAGTGAGACAGTGTGTCAGAAAATGAAGAGTAGAGGACAAATGATGGAGCAAGAGGAGAGGGTAATAATGAATATGAGAGAGAATTCTTGACAAGGTTTTCTCTTCAAAAAGAGATTGGAGTGTTTTAAATGTTTAATTTAAGTAAAAGCTGACACTTGAAAACACTCATTTCAACTTTTTTAAAGACAAAAGCTAAAAAACACTTTATTTAATAGGCTTAAAAAAAACTTATTTATCAAACACTACCAATTTTTACTTTTTCTCGGCTTGCGTGTGAAAAATGTTTTTCCCTTTTCTATTACACAAAAAACACTTATTTTATCAAACACTACCAACTTTTACTTTTCAAAATCACTTTTTTCTCAAACACTATCAACTTTTACTACTTATCACTTTTTCCTTACATCTCCAAAAGTGTTTTTTTTTTAAACAGAAGCAGTTGCAAACACTTTTTTTAAATTCCCTTCACTAATACTTAAACTGGCGGAATTGATTGGAAATATGTTTTTAATTGAGGAAAAGTAGGGGAGTATGTTTTGTTTTCTTATTTATGGTTTTGTTTCTATCCAAATTTTTTTATATCAAATAAGTAGTTTTTGAGTTGACAATTTGAATTACATTACAATTTAAACAATAAGTTAGCAGTGCTTTTGTAGTTCAAGTGTTCAACTATTAAAATTAATGAAGTAGACTAGTTTATATCTTTAATGGTCAGTTCACATTTTAATAGCTAACCTCAAACAATTAATTATCAAACACTTTATTTGAAATCGCTAATGAAAGCGAAGGGTCGAAACCGCTAAAAAATTTGTTGGTATCAATCCGCTAATTCAATCGGCTATTATATTCACTCTTAGAGATGAAGCGTTGTCAGTGGCAAAAATTGATAAAATCCATGATACACAAGTGATATATGTTTGTGACAATTTGTTGTAAACTCTTTATTGTGTAAATGATGTATTGTAAGAATATAATTTTTGTTGTGTTGGATAGAATTTGAATCATGTTTTTGTGATACTTGATAACTTGGATTGTTATAAATACAAGTTTGTGTTGGTTTAAAACTCATAAAATTATCCATTTAGAGCAAATGATATGTAAAAAAGGAGCATACATTCTTTATGCAATAAGTATGATATGTAAAAAAGGAGCATACATTCTTTATGCAATGACTTATTGTTGCAGTCGTTGTGGAACCACAACATTTTTTTTTAAATTTTTTCGGCCTTTATTTGCTACGGTTGTGACCGTAGTAAATTAACTTCTTTCACAATTTGTTGCTCTGTCAATTTCTGTGAATCTGAACCGCAATAAATATATTAAAATTACTACAACAATTAACATTTTTCGAGTAGTATGTAGTTGGAGTAATGTTAAATATATTAAAATATCTTATTAAAGTTCATGCTTTTAAAGTTTATTACGGTTTCTCAAAACACAAAACTAAAGTTTATTCATTAGTGACAACAAATACATAAAAACATGACCGTGCTTTTACTTTTTCCCAAAACTATTTTAGTAAGTTTAGTACAACCATAACCATCCATATTTAGAGAAAATCCCTTAAATAGGAATAAAAGATGACTAAATTCCTCAAATTAGATCATTTATATTTTCTTTTTAAAACATGATTCAATCACTCTTAAAAGTTAAACTTTTGACATGTTAGTCCTTTTATTAAGACTAAGTAAGTCCTATGTGAGAATAAGTTTTTTTTGTTGACAACTAACAAAGTTCATTAATGATTATCCATCAAAAGGAGATCACGAATACAAATAGGAGGATTTTCGATCCAAAGACAATCAAAGTTTCCCCAAGCCCCTGCAGTTCCAAACACTTCCAGCTCACACATCCCATTTTGAATAAGAGAACTCTCTCGACTGGCTTCCACCCGTGAGGACCCAAACCTCTCGATTGCCTTTCGTCAGCGAGGACTCAATACCCCACAGATGGGGGAGACGAAGAAACGCCGGATAAAACCAGGATGATACTGTAGAAAACACGGTAGAAGAGATAGTGATCGCCTCCGTTCACTAGGCTATTTGAAAATAAGTTCTCATCTAACATTCCAACGATTTAGAACATGCAAGTATGCACTAAAAATGGATGACCTACCACATCCTTAAGAGTGCCAAAAACCAAAAGTTGAGAGCGAAGTACAATCTAATCAATGGAGTGTTCATAGTCTACCTGATTTTAGATGTCTCATATTTTGTATTTTTACCTGTGAAAATATTGGACCTTATGTATAGTGTTACTAGTCTTTCTCCTATCATGTTTGATATAAGGCGTTTTAGAAGAACTAAAACCAAACATTCCTATCATGTTTGATATATGGCGTTTAAGAAAAGCTAAAATCAAACATTTTGGGATCGTTTATATTATCCAGTTTTCCACAAAACTGGTAAAAGAAAAAACAGGAAAACGCGTTTACTTGAATAAATTGCTGGAAAACTGAAGAATAGAAAACAATAAAACACATTTACCAAATCTTTTTCCAAAAAAAAAAGACATGTCTCTTTAAAAAAATATGTCCCTATTTTCCTAAATGAATTGGAGAAATAAATTTTACTAGTTCTCCAAATTAGAAATACGCAGACTATGCATTTGCCTACTTACGAGTTACGCCTAGGGGTGGATCCGGTCCCGCTCCGATCTAGTTTCACTCCAGTCTCAAGTTCGGTCTCGGGTTTGGTCTGGACAATGACCAGTCTGACCTGGTCCGGTCAACGACCGGGCGGTCCTGGTCTGGTCCGCTCGTGGGTGCAATGGGTTTGGGTACACAAAATATGTACACAAAATGTGTACACATGTCTGTCCTTCACAGAAATTTTGTCTGTCACAGACAACTCATTTTGACTAATAGTTTTGATGATAGTTTTGATATATGCTTTTGGTTCACTCATTAATTGCAGAGTACTTATTAATGTAGGGTATATGATATTCATACTTTTAATAATTCAAATTCATCTACATTTGATAATTTAAGTAGCATAGAGGTTAATGAAGAAGATTATTTAAGGGCTTATTTATTTTTCACTTGGCATTAGCTCAAGGTGGTATGCCTTTTTCCTTAATTTTGGTACTTCTACTTGCACGGTTGTTTACCTTTTGACTAATCAGCTCTCACATGAATTCAGACCTTTATCTTCCACCAGGTATGAAAGGAGTTTTTCTTTCATAAACAAGTAGTCACTATTGAAGAAGGAGACCGTAAAAATAAAGACAATAGCCATTAGCCAGGAGAGAGAGTATTGTTTTTTCATATGTTTCTTCTCATCTTGGGATAAAATTTAAAACTTTAATAAAATGATGACAAGAAGAAAAAGTGCACTCTTAAATATCTTTTGTTGTCTTGCTCGAAGTTTTTTTATACAAGCATAATGATAGGAGTCTATGTATTAACTCAACTCGGTCGTTTCCCGCCTAAATCTTTTAGGGCATTTTAGTACACTTTTGTTCTCCTTATCCCTTCATCAGCCCAGCTCATATTACTTGATATCCTCTTATCCTTGCCTAATGTTTCAGAAGTTCTACCTTCTCAAAAGCCTCCTCCTACATTAGTGTACATTTAGGCCATGTTTGGTAAATGGCTTATCAGCCATTTTTTGGCTGGTTTGACCAAATTTAGATGCTTTGACTAATTAATAAGCCAAATAATATGTTTGGTGAATAGCTTGTTGAATTAGCTTCTTCATTCCAACCAGCCAAAAAATTAGATTGTTGAAAACGCCATACATAGCAGCGTTTGTGGTTGGCTGGTTCACATTTTTACAATCTTCTCCTCCTACTCGTAGGTCTCTAATACGTATGTAGTAGGAAATATTTTGTATATTCTTTTCTTGGTACTTTTTAGGTTGACTTCTTATTTTTTTATTTTTTTTATTTTACTTTACTTATTGACTACTAAAATAAATGAATGTGAATAAATAATATTTCTATATGTACAAAACAAATAATAACATAACAAAAAATTATACTAGTAATTAATAGTTACTCCTTAATTAATACTACATCTTACCAATAAAAAAGAGTTAGAAAAGTTTTATTTTATATATCCAGTTTAGGTACTGTATGAGATATGTAAAACACAAGAAATCTACCTACAGCTTCTTTAGCAATAGTAAATGGATTGAAAATGTTTCCATACTAATTACGTTTCATATGCATAGTAACATTTTCTATGCATGCTAAATGCTAATCACAGATTGAAAATGGATTGCAAATATTTCGATACTAATTACGTTTCTTATCTATTACCCCGTACGTATTATTATTATTATTATTATTATTATTATTATTATTATTATTATTATTATTATTATTATTATTATTATTATTATTATTATTATTATTATTATTATTATTATTATTATTATTATTATTATTATTATTATTATTATTATTATTATTATTATTATTATTATTATTATTATTATTATTATTATTATTATTATTATTATTATTATTATTATTATTATTATTATTATTATTATTATTATTATTATTATTATTATTATTATTATTATTATTATTATTATTATTATTATTATTATTATTATTATTATTATTATTATTATTATTATTATAAAATATGAATAATTTATACTTTGTAAGTAAACGTAGGTAATATTATTTTTATAAGCAATAGCTAAAATATAAATACAAATGTCCTTTTATGTCTTTTTACAATCACATAGCTATTCTTAAACAGCTATTTTACTAAACATTTGCTGACAACAAGCTAACATAATCAGCCAACTAAAACAGCTGACACAACCAGCTATTGTCAATCAGCTGTCGTAACCAGCTAACAGCTAACAGTTAACAGCCGATTGCCAAACAAGGCCTTAATAGCATCGGC